ACCACTGGGCCAGGAAAGATGAATCTCATGTGGAATCATCCTCAGGTAGTGTAGATTCAAGTTTGTTCAAATCATGACCCCCGGGGCAAGGGTGGGGCCAAAATGGCCGACCCAAATTTTACATAGGAATATATACATGTAGGAAAAATCTTTAAAAATCTTTTTCTCCAGAACCACTGGGCCAGGAAAGATGAAACTCATGTGGAAGCATCCTCAGGTAGTGTAGATTCAAGTTTGTTCAAATCATGACCCCGGGGCAAGGGTGGGGCCAAAATGGCCGACCCAAGTTTTACATAGGAATATACAGGAACAATCTTTAAAAATCTTCTCCAGAACCACTGGGCCAGGAAAGATGAAACTCATGTGGAATCATCCTTAGGTAGTGTAGATTCAAGTTTGTTCAAATCATGACCCCCGGGGCAAGGGTGGGGCCAAAATGGCCGACCCAAATTTTACATAGGAATATATAGGAAATATCTTTAAAAATCCTTCTGAAGATCCACTGGGCCAGGAAAAATGAAACTCATGTGGAATCATCCTCAGGTAGTGTAGATTCAAGTTTGTTCAAATCATGACCCCCGGGGCAAGGGTGGGGCCAAAATGCCGACCCAAGTTTTACATAGGAATATATAGGAAAAATCTTTAAAAAATCTTCTTCTCCAGAATCACTGGGCCAGGAAAGATGAAACTCATGTGGAATCATCCTCAGGTAGTGTAGATTCAAGTTTGTTCAAATCATGACCCCCGGGGCAAGGGTGGGGCCAAAATGGCCGACCCAAATTTTACATAGGAATATATAGGAAATATCTTTAAAAATCCTTCTGAAGATCCACTGTGCCAGGAAAAATGAAACTCATGTGGAATCATCCTCAGGTAGTGTAGATTCAAGTTTGTTCAAATCATGACCCCCGGGGCAAGGGTGGGGCCAAAATGCCGACCCAAGTTTTACATAGGAATATATAGGAAAAATCTTTAAAAAATCTTCTTCTCCAGAATCACTGGGCCAGGAAAGATGAAACTCATGTGGAATCATCCTCAGGTAGTGTAGATTCAAGTTTGTTCAAATCATGACCCCCGGGGCAAGGGTGGGGCCAAAATGGCCGACCCAAATTTTACATAGGAATATATAGGAAATTTTTAAAAAATCTTCTTCTCAAGAACCACTAGAACAGGAAAGATGAAACTCATGTGGAATCATCCTCAGGTAGTGTAGATTCAAGTTTGTTCAAATCATGACCCCTGGGGCAAGGGTGGGGCCAAAATGGCTGACCCAAGTTTTACATAGGAATATATAAGGAAAATCTTTAAAAATCTTCTCCAGAACCACTGGGCCAGGAAAGATGAATCTCATGTGGAATCATCCTCAGGTAGTGTAGATTCAAGTTTGTTCAAATCATGACCCCCGGGGCAAGGGTGGGGCCAAAATGGCCGACCCAAATTTTACATAGGAATATATACATGTAGGAAAAATCTTTAAAAATCTTTTTCTCCAGAACCACTGGGCCAGGAAAGATGAAACTCATGTGGAAGCATCCTCAGGTAGTGTAGATTCAAGTTTGTTCAAATCATGACCCCGGTGCAAGGGTGGGGCCAAAATGGCCGACCCAAGTTTTACATAGGAATATACAGGAACAATCTTTAAAAATCTTCTTCTCCAGAACCACTGGGCCAGGAAAGATGAAACTCATGTGGAATCATCCTCAGGTAGTGTAGATTCAAGTTTGTTCAAATCATGACCCCCGGGGCAAGGGTGGGGCCAAAATGGCCGACCCAAGTTTTACATAGGAATATATAGGAAATATCTTTAAAAATCCTTCTGAAGATCCACTGGGCCAGGAAAAATGAAACTCATGTGGAATCATCCTCAGGTAGTGTAGATTCAAGTTTGTTCAAATCATGACCCCCGTGGCTAGGGTGGGGCCAAAATGGCCGACCCAAGTTTTACATAGGGATATATAGGGAAACCTTTTAAATCTTCTTTTCAAGTACTTCAAATATATGATTAGTGATATTTATATGGAATCATCCTCAGGTAGTGTAGATTCTAGTTTGTTCAAATGATGAACGCCTGGAGGGGGGGAGTAAATTTAAGCCCGATGTGCTCAGGTGAGCGCTGTGGCCCCTGGGCCTCTTGTTTATTTTGTTAAAATCCCTCCTATCTATATTTTTAAAAGCCCAGTGCTTTAAATTTCTCTTCAAAGTTTAGTGTTATAAAATATTGAAATAATAACCAACAAAGATAAAAATAAAATCAACATAATTTTTATTTAAATTTACAAAAATAGACAAAAGAAAAACTAAAACAGCATTTTCTTGAAAATAGCTGGTTGGATCCTATTCAATATCTGAAAAGATATATAATATCAAAGGGTAAAAACAATGAAAAAAAGAAATTGAAAAAAATTGAAAAACTGTCAAAAATTTATAAACATCACAAAAATTCAGGTGTGAGAGATCCGCTTTACATGTAAGAGTGGACTCAAATATCTTGGTACTGTTTTTTTTTTTTAGCTCACCTGAGCTGAAAGCTCAAGTGAGCTTTTCTGATCACATTTCGTCCAGCGTCCGTCTGTCTGTCTGTCTGTAACCTTTTCACATTTTCGACTTCTTCTCAAGAACCACTGGGCCAATTTCAACCAAACTTCCCACAAAGTATCCTTGGGTAAAGGGGATTCAAGTTTGTTCAAATGAAGGGCCAAGCCCTCATTCAAGGGGAGGTAATTGGGAATTAATGAAAATTTGGTGGCATATTTTAAAAATCTTCTTCTCAAGAACCACTGTGCCAGGAAAGATGAAACTTATGGGGAAACATCCTCAGGTTGTGTAGATTCAAGTTTGTTCAAATCATTACCCCCGGGGGTAGGGCGGGGCCAAAATGGCCGACCGAAGTTTTACATAGAAATATATAGGAAAATTCTTTAAAAATCTTCTTCCCCAGAATGACAGAGCCATAATTCATCATATTTATATGGAAGCATGTTCAGGTAGTGTAGATTCAAGTTTGTTCAAATCAAGACCCCCAGGGTTAGGGCGGGGCCAAATTGGCCGACCAAACTGTTACATAGAAATATATAGGAAAATTCTTTAAAAATCTTCTTCTCAAGAATGACAAAGCCATAATTCATCATATTTATATGGAAGCATGTTCAGGTAGTGTAGATTCAAGTTTGTTCAAATCATGACCCCCGGGGGTAGGGCGGGGCCAAAATGGCCGACCAAAGTTTTTAAAGATATATATAGGAAAATTCTTTAAAAATCATTTTCTAAAAAATAGCAAATCCATGATTGGTCATGGGACTACTTTTGGATTTAAACTTTACAATAAAAAGCCATTTTCTACTTTTTCCTACCCTCGTTGCTCAGGTGAGTGATGTGGCCCATGGGCCTCTTGTTTTTATATAAACTTCAAATAAACTCTAGGCCTACTTGCACAAGTGTAAAAGAAATGTCACGCAAGGACATTGAAAGAAGTTCGTATTGTACATGTATTGTTTTTCAATGAGTTTAAGCGAAAATCATCGCGTTTCCGGTCAATGACAAAGACATGTATTTAGTGAATTCATGGTATTGAGAAAGGTAGATTTACTTACCGTTTTTATCCAACTTGCATGTGTTATTCAGTGCTATATATAACAAAACAAGTTAAGATGGTAAATGGCCAAAAGCGGTAAAAGAAATTCCGATAACCAAATGCACACTTCGTCTAAAACCTGCACGTTTCCCATACTTGTAAACAGCTGACAATCAATGGTGATCAAACGTTTGGGTCATGCGAAATTTCACCGGGTATAACCATTCATTCGGGTGTATACAAATCGAGAACAGAGTATCCTCTGGTCGATGGGAAGATAATACATATTTCTTATCTTATCAAATTTGCATTTTTGGGGGGATATATTTTGCTGAAAAGCATATATGCTTATTGGAGAAATAAATTTCTGAGTGTATGGCGTTTTGACACGTAATGATGAATTAGCATATGGACAAGCAATGTTTTATATCATTTTTTTTTCTCATCTAAAAATCTTATTCTAATAAGTTTGTAAATGTATTATTTAATAATTGAATAAGTAGAAATTGAATAAATTGACAAACAATTCATTTTTAAAGAAAGGATACGTATTGGGCAATACACTGTATTAATTGATGTGATATAATGTACATTCCATCCACAATATCGCATATTGTGTTATACTCAGTGATTTATCGGTGTTAAGTGAATTTGAATCTGATCATTTGGGATCAAAATGGCGTTTTTACGGAAGTACGCCATGTTGTGACGTTGTAGAGAGCTCCTAAGTCAGGATTTCCTCTGATACTGAAAAAAAATCAAAGAATGCAAATATAAGTAATAAACAACGATTATTCAGTGAACATGGCATTATGAATAGCAATAGCTCTGCTGGCATATTTTCCATGATGCGCTAGCGCGCATCATGGAATATGCCAGCAGAGCAATTGCTAGATCTATTCATAATGCCATGTTCACTGAATAACGTTGTTTATTTCTTAAATGAATTCATTCTTACGTCAGAAAATCTAGTTCCGTCGATCTGTTTATAATGGGAAAGGCCAACTAGATTTTACAATTTTTAAAAAAAAATACATGTGAGCTCAGTTAGGTACAATTTTCTCCTTTCACATATAGGTAGATTTGAATAAAGTTCAGTGACCAGCCAAAGGAGAAAATTGTACCTACCTGCGTTCGTATATTTTAAGGGCTTCAAAGAGTGGGGCGGGGTTAAAATGCAATGGGAATTGAATGTAAACATGATACCCCTACCACAATAAAAGATTTATATCTTTCAAATCACTTTTCTATTTTTGTTAAAAATAGTTTTCTATAAAGGTATACATATCAGTGATTAGTTACATACAAAAATTTGAGTAAAATTTAGACATTTAATTTTTTGTTAGCATACGAGGGGCCGCAAGTCACCTCATCCTTTACGCCGAAGATCTATCGATCCAGGCGCATAGAAATCTCTTGTAGTCTTCTTATACAGTGGGCATTCTTGCAGAAAATTCACTTCGAATAGATATTGCTTGGTTTACCCATTTAAATAGGATCGATCGACGGAAGTAAACAAAGTAACCACAACGAGGAAGAAGGTAAGGAAACATTAATTTATTTTTCATAGCAACCAAACAATCCCGTCTTTGATACTGATCAAATAGTCTCTATGTACACATGCATGTACGACAGTACAAGACTTTTAGATTCATAATGTTACTTAAAGAAGGTCGTCATGACTAGGATCAAAGCAACGTCGGACCAAAACTACTACTGACTGCATGTAAAACCTCAGACTGAACTAAAAATACAGCGAAAAAAAAATTGTATCAAATATAGTCTGTCCTCCATGATTTTCCCTCCATTTATTCCACCATTACGTGTATTGTATGTATCTTCTTTTTCCCTTGATTGTTTTCATTTTTAGCTCACCTGAGCCGAAGGCTCAAGTGAGCTTTTCTGATCAAAATTTGTCCGATGTCTGTCGTCGTTGTTGTCGTCGTAAACTTTTCACATTTTCATCTTCTTCTCAAGAACCACTGGGCCAATTTCAACCAAACTTGACACAAAGTATCCTTAGGTGAACGGGATTCAAGTTTGTTCAAATGAAGGGCCACGCCCTTTTCAAAGGGGAGATAATTATGAATTAGTGAAAAAATTAATGGCATTTTAAAAAAATCTTCTTCTCAAGAACCACTGGGCCAAGATAGATGAAACTCATGTGGAATCATCCTCAGATAGTATAGATTCAATTTTTTTAAAATCATGACCCCCAGGGGTAGAGTGGGGCCAAAATGCCGATCAAAGTTTTACATAGGAATATATTGGGAAAATCTTTAAAAATCTTCTTTTCCTGAACCAATGGGCCAGGAAAGATGAAACTCATGTGGAATCATCCTCAGGTAGTGTAAATTCAAGTTTGTTCAAATCATGACCCCTGGGGCTAGGATGGGGCCATAATGGCCGTTAAAAGTTTTACATAGGAATATATAGGAAAAATCTTTAAATATCTTCTTCTCAAGAACCATTGAGACAAGAAAGACAAAAATCATGTGAAATCATCCCCAGTTACTATAGATTGAATTTTTTTTAAAATCATGACCCCCAGGGGTAGGGTGGGGCCAAAATGGCCGATCAAAGTTTTACATAGGAATATATAGGGAAAATCTTTAAAAATCTTCTCAAGAACCACTGGGCCAGGAAAGATGAAACTAATGTGGAATCATCTCAGGTAGTGTAGATTCAAGTTTGTTCAAATCATGACCCCGGGGGTAGGGTGGGGCCAAAATGGCCAATCAAAGTTTTTCATAAGAATACATGTATATAAGGAAATCTTTTAAAATCTCCTTCTCAAGTACTTCAAAGCCACGATTAGTGATATTTATATGAAATCATCCTCAGGTAGTGTAGATTCTAGTTTGTTCAAATCATGACCCCTAGGGGGTTAAGATTTAAGCCCCCCCTCCAAACTCAGTAAACTTTCACTTCTGACCTGATATTTGCTTTTTCCTAGCCGGTGTGCTCAGGTGAGCACTGTGGCCCCTGGGCCTCTTGTTATACTTTTTTATACCTGTACATCTAAATTTAGTAGTAAATGCTGTAAATATTTTCATCGTTCTCATGTACCATATACATGTACCATATATTTTAAATGGTTTTGAGTGAATAAATGAACTTGAACTTGTAAAATTGACATGTAAAATTACTTAACCGTGAAAGCTCTGATGTCACGCAGGAAAAGAGGTTAAAAGCCAAAATGTTTGAATAATGATAATTTTATTATACAAACATCTATGAAATATTAATGAATATACCCGTTATACATAATAATACATTAGTAAAAAGAAATTTATGTGAAATATCGAACAATATTAATCAATTTAGAAATAAATAAGTAAAATTGTGAACAACGCATGATTATTTTACAACATTTTTGTCGCCCTCGTTACATCACTATAAGCAATATCAAATCAATAAATGGGACGTTAAGTATCAGTCACATTATCCAGCGTTGGGGTATACGATGAGAAACCGATGCGTTTTTTGACGAAAATGGCGTGGTTGCCGGCCGGACACGACTAGTAATCGGACGTTGACTGAGGCCATTTGGCGAATCGGTGCGGTCATCGGTAGAAAATAATTCGTAGTTAAAAATCAGCGATGTCTCCAACGATGCCTCACATCGCTTCTCATCGGCAACCCATCATTAACACATTTTTCAAGGATCGGCCGATGTATGGCCGAGCATCGTCCAGTGTCGGTTGAATCATCGAGGGGTTGAGTGGTGGGCAACAGACATCGGCCGATCAACGATAGATGTTCGACCGAACATTGGCCCATAGTCACCCGATGTACAAACGATGTTCACAAATGTATGATCGCCGTAATGGTATACATCGGCCGATTACCCTGGAACATCGTTTTATGATTAGCAATGCCTCGCTGGGCTTTTGTAAGTCCAGCCGGCAACCACGACATTTTTATCAAAAAACCCATTGGTTGCCCATCGTATACCCCATCGCTGGATAATGTGACTGACACTTAGCATAGTAGACTGAGGTTTGGACATCGCTCACACCACGGATTACCACCGATAACCATCGGTCTACGGCCACCGGGCGGGAAATGTGACCTGGGCATTAGTCATGTTACGATCCGATGAAGGGCTTCAAATTTAAACCTTGTCAGAAAGGGTTCTTAATCGCGCCAGCACCTATTATAACAATGAAGGTCCATGAGTACTGTCTCTTATGTCCTTAAAATTTTTGCTGTCCGTTATACATGTATATATAATTACATGTCGCTTGAAATAAACCTAACAATGTATATCTGAAAACTGAATTTTAAAGTTTGTCTATTCAAGACTGGACCTCCATACTACGAATACTCAGTTCCTCTGATTCTACATGGTGTATTCAATACCAAAAATACTACTTTATATGTGATATAAGATACGTCGATTTCAATCTAAACTAGTAAATATATCGCTAATAACAATCATTTGCAAAAACTGTTGCTTGCCAAGTTGGTTCACACTCCCTGAATAGTTTTTACTCTTCACCAACTTCTCTGTCACCAGAACTATGGTACATCTAGTGTCACTAAACACAAAAACTCATTATTGTTAACCAATCCAATCTCAATTTTCAGTCCCGTACACTTTCCCCCAAACTCAGTCTTATCTTCGGCAACCACGGGTAAAATGGAACACTTTCTCGTCATCGTTGGCTAGTGTTATATCCCACATTTGCTCTTACCTTTGGTATATTGCACTGCCTTAGGTTTCTCTACCAAATGAATTCCAAATATTCAGTCAGTATCAGTTGATTTACGTTATGGATGTTTATAAGTTATCCAATCCCTGTAGACATAAAACTTCCACATTGCTTTGCTGCGTTGGCTAAAATTATAAACAAGGGGTATATGTAGGTTAGGGCCACAATGGATGATCAAACTTTTACGTTGGTCAATATATAGGAAAAATCATGATAAATTTACCTCCTTTATCCTTTGACATGCTTATGATTTGTATTCTATTAGATAACAATGACCCGTGATAAGCATCTGGAAGCTCAATTTCTTCATCTGCTGATTAAGTCCAAATATCTGAGGTTTTAAAGGCTTTGTTTACGATTTTGATATTTTACGTGCCAGGAAAAAGTCGGCAGAACCGGCGCCATTACGAAAACTGGAAATTTGGCCGTCTCCAACCGGAGTTCATTTTCGATATATCTGCACAATGGTTCTAGTACTCATCAATATCTATGAACAGAAGATTCATAGACTTGCAAGATTCATAGACTTGCAAGATTTTAAATGCCCGGAATGAAAACAAATTTCGAAAGTCTGATAAAATGTTCTCATCGGATTGTATACTTCATAAATGAAGCATAAAAACGTTGATGTAAAAGATCTAGAAGTAGAGTACTAATTGAAATTTTTGTGAGTTTGACAATTAATTCGGTTCGTAAGTATAAAAAATCAACACGAGAATGTCGAATGCCGCCTTTGGTTGGATGCGGCGATTTCCCAGTTTACGTAATGACGCCGGTTCTGACGTGTTCCTGGCACGTAAAATATGAAAATCATTTAAAAAAGCCTGGAGAACGCCAGATTTTTCGGACTACAGCTGATTCTGTCTTTTTGTTTCAACCAAACCCGAAAATCCATGTATGAACTATTAACCAACTGTTTTCCAAGAGCTAAATTAGCTGACTTATCAATGTTCTTGTTAACTTTCTCAATAGTTGACACCATTGCTCAGAATAGTTTAGCACACGAGTGCAATGCTCTATGTTTCGTTTGGGTATTGTTTTAATTGGCATTTTCGACAAGCTTCAATGTTTTCACCTTTACAATGATTTTTCCAGCTTACGAAAAGAAATCTACAAAGGAATAGTATCAACATGGCCACTGCAAATAAGGTAGCTAAACTCTGTCCTGAGGGATCAGATTCTGAATCAGATGACTCTAGTGCTTGGCAAGAAGAGAGATCTGTAACACCTTTCCCACCCACTGATGTCATATTGGAAGTACAAGGGATGGATATACATCTCAATAAACAGGTCTTAATGGACGCATCACCCGTTTTTAAGAGAATGTTTGAATCTGACTTCAGTGAAAAACATAAAGACAGGATACCACTTCCAGAAAAAAAGTATGCAGAATTTGTGAACTTTTTATACACATTTTATAACCCGGAACTACTGGCCCCAATAACGGGTAAGTAATAGTAAGGTTTGTTTGTTTTTTAGCCCACCTCAACGAAATTGGTAGAACATATGTTTAAGAAGTATTTATTCATAATAAACGAAAAAGGATACAATATGAATATGGATTGAACAGCAGGCCAAGGGCCTAAATATGTGATACCCTCAGCGTCTCAGGTTCAAGTTTTTGGTTTAGTTTTCTTCTTCAGTACTTAAATGCATTGATAAGACATGTATGGAATATGCTTCTAGTGTGTTTCATTGTATCGTTCAAAGTTTCAAATGCTGCAATTTCAGCAAAAGAATGACCAGGTAAACGTTTTCGGAATAGGTTTGGATGTAGGTGCATGTCTTGGTTTTGGGTGCATGTCTCATTTCCAAGTAAATATGAAACCTTTGTTTACCAAACTTGCATGGATGATACATTAAGAACGAGCTTATCTGCAACTGCGCGTGCGCAAGAGGAAGCGGGCACTGCGCATTCGCGAAAGCCTAGTCCTAAGGTTGAGATTCGCTTTCATCAGAGACATATCTCTGCTTTCATACATCAAAGGACTCGCACAACTATACTTGCTTCATCTGACCTACATTTTCCGCAGGTTAAAGTTTTTGGTGCAGGTTTCATTTCCAAGTAACTATAGGCTTTAGTATATGTTGACCAAACTTGCATGGAAGGCACATCTTATGATGCACACTACCAAGCTTGCTTCAGATGCTGGCTATTACCTACATCTTCCAGATGAGTGAACAGGTTCACATTTTTCAAGGAAGGCACATCTATATAACCTCATCAGAAATAAAATACAAATCTACTCTTTGCACTCATTACTACAATGAAAACTGTTTAATCTAAACCCTGCACATTCTATTTCAGTGTAAATTCCGACTTTTATTACAACTGTAAATGTTTTCCTTTGTGTAATTCTGTGTATGAAAAGAAAGGATTCATAGTACATGGATCGGAATTATTTATCAAATTACCATGCAAAGAAAGTGTCTTTTTGAAGTTGTCCGAACTGAACCAGTAAAATAATTTTATGTAGTCAAATAAACGGTTATTTTGTTCAAATATAGTTCCATTTCCCCAGTTAGTGATTTGTTACATCATATTTATTACAATAAAAATAGAAATTTTATATTTAGATCCATTTTTTTTTATTTATGTTTATATGAGTCCTTTTGTTGTGTTTCGACTGTTATCTTATTTTCCACACTTTCATTTTTTTTCTGAACCAGTAAAATACTTTTAAATAGCCCTAGAAGGGTCAATTTTATTCAAATGAAATTTCATTCCCCATGAAAGGTGATATAATTTTTTTTAAAAATGTCATTAACAGAGTTGGGTCTTTTAAAAATCGTATTATCAAGAACCTTGTCATTGGGAAAATGAAGTTGAAACTTCATGGACAACATTGATAATTACTGCCAAACGTTAATAAACGATATGAAACTATCATTTTCATTAAACTAATGTTTCATTTTATACATTTGCAAATTTTAATCAAAATCAAAGCACAATGGTTATATTCTTGTTAGATACGAAAAAGACACCCACTCATACCCGGAGCACTAAAACAAAAATCCTTGACGTTACCCGACGTCAAATGCTTAATACATGTAACTTTTTTTCAGAACACAGTCACCGTTTAACTCAATTTATTTCTTATGTCGCTTTAATCAGTCATCAAAAAATGTGCATAAACTATTCAGATTCCATATGTAAAAATGATATTTTACACTTCCTGCACCTGATCCTGCAAAGCCTTAAACCTTTGTGCGCGTAAAAATGACTTTATTTAAGGAAATACGGCAAATTCAATTTTTACAGCACTGCAATCTCAGAATGCAGGTATTCCTTCACCCATTTCACCCTGTAAACTGTTCCTTTCGTCCGAAAATGTTATATTCCACTTAAATACTGAAGAGCAGATTCCATTACTATATTTTCTTGACTGGTTACAGTATTTATGGATCTCTGTTGGTGTTTTTCCGATGTCTATGCAGAATTTTATCACTGCTCTCTGCTCCACCTTTTCCAAAAACGTCCCTTCTTCGAACTATGCCGATCCTGTCTTAATCGATTCTAACCCCGATTTCCCAGTCATTTCTAAACTCTGAACGTTCACATTTAGCAGGTTTGAAGTTATACGTGTAACTTTTATCAACCTCATAATGTAAAAACAATCCGAATTTCCGCGGAATTTTACAAAATACAAATGAAATTTATAAAAAGATAAAAAAAAAAAAAAAAATTAAAATTTTGCGGTGCTCCGGGTCACCATTCCAAGTCTAATGATAAAGCCATTATTATAATTATATATTTGAAATTGAATATAATTTCACATTTTTTAATTCACATAAAGTAAATGAATATAAATAAGTTAATATTAAATATCAATGACGCCATATTTATTTAGATTTGCACTTGTCCACGAACTTCACGGACAACCCTCGTATATGTAAAGGGTATTAAGTGTTCATTCCACATTTTTCTTTCATTTTCGAAAAGAAATTTGATGAGAAAAGATTTCCAATTTATGATATTTCATGTTGACAGAGTCCATTCTTGCTACCGATAAGGTTTTAACTGTCTTTTAAATCAATAAAGGAAGAGCAGGTATTAAAACAGATTATGTTTGTGCAGAAAAACTAGGGATGATGCATATTTGTGACCTATATTCAGCATACAGGTCAAAACATCCTTTTCAAATACTATGAAAAAATTATTTAGTCGGTGAAAAAATTCAAAATGACAAACCTGTTCTTTTGAAGTGATTTATATTCATAAAACTAGTATGCTCATCAGCTTGTATGATGCAAAATAAGCTATGAACAAACAAAAAGTAAATTTACTAAATTATCCTATATTTTCACTCAAAATGACAAGCATTTCTGTCGTTTGGGTGCTTTAAAGATGTTATATTCATTTTCATATCGGAGAAAACTCCTATAACTTCCTGCTAGAAATGAATTGCTGTAAATCTGAAGCACATTCTTCTACTGATTTTGTCAGGTTTGAATATTCATCTCGTAAGTTAAGCACTACTTTGAAATTATTTTTTTGAAAATATTAAAATTCAGTTTATTGAACGCAGGTTTACGTTTTAATGAATAACTGTTATTGTTATACAAGTTCATTGTACCAAGGATTGTATTCTATTAATCATGTTAATCTTTACTTTTGAATAACTTCCAGAGAAAAACGTTTTGGAGGTGGCATGTCTGGCAGATGAATATGAGATCATGGACCTCAAATTGAAATGTGAATTATTTATCCTTGATAACTTTGAACGTGCATGTGAAGAGGGAGGCTTTCACATTGATACAGATACTCTGGTTAATTATGCTGTTTACGCAGAGAAACATGGTGTGGAATTGCTTCTTCCTTCGACAATAATACTTTGCTCAAAACGCAGTATTGAGTCATTAAAACAAGCAAACTTTGAGACAAGACTTACCACTGATACGCAACAAAAATCCTGGATTTTCGATGTACTGTTATGGAACGAGAAATTGCATCTTCTTTAGACAAAGGTAAGTATTTCTTAAAGAATGTAAATTACATGTATAATTAATGAAACATGTATTTGTTGAAAGCAGACTGACTTCTGATTGTGTAGATATTTAATAATCAGAGACTTTTTTTTTTATTTCAGGAGAACAAAATATCTTACAATTAATGGAACTGGTTTGGGAAGCTCAAAATAATGACAAGATGAGAATGTGTGAAAATCGCCTTGTAGCTAAATGCAAACAGGTCAACAAAGAAACTATAGACAAAAACATGGGCGATTTTACCCGAGAAAGACTTCTGGATTACATAATCGCTGCTGAAAGATACAAATTGAAAAATCTTCTGTCATCTGCAATCGAACTAGCATCTAAATGCAATTCAAGAGGAATGAAAAATGATTTAAAGTATGAAAAAATATCGAGTGTAACAAAATACGAAATAGATACTATACGACTTGATCTTCTTGAAAGAAATGGTAAAATAGAAAGTAGCCAAAACTTATTTTTCACTTTTAGTTTTTGCAGAACCAATCCTGTTCCTGTCGGCTCTTTTCTATCTTAAACTTATATGAGTATGTAAAACAACATGACATCTTCATGTATATAACATTTTATTATATTTTTAAGGTTAAAACATTTTGCTTTTGCTGATAAACTCGGACAGCAATTTTCTTCAAATATAAAGGTGTAATGTAATCTTAAAAAAGACCTTAAAATATTCTATGAAAATAAAATATGCCAAAATTGTAAAATGGATATTTAGCATTTTTTTTCTCAGAGTGCTTAAACAAACTGCAGAGAAGTGAATTGCGCTGAATTTGTTTTAATATAAATCTTTGCTTGTCATTTGAACGCTCTCTTGGCTTGCAGACTACATGCCAGATTTACTGATGCAACATAGTTGTATCAAAACTAAGCAATTTTTATCAATTTGAAGTAAAATTATAATGAACTCGCAGAAGATGACTTGGTATCACATCTCTACATTAAAATACCACCCTTTCGCGTCATTCTAATGACAACAGAACTAACTAGGACAATTTACGATAAACGGACCATCGCGAGAGAATAACCAATTCATAATGGCAATATCTGTCATGAGTATGTTTTTGCTGAACATTTTAAAGTAATTATATAATAAAAGAATGTTATCAAAATAATAGACAATGATAAAACATTATAGAAATCTGGCATTTGGCGCATATGATGCTGACAATCTTGGAGGGTAATGAGAATTTGCCAGCGATGAGTTGATGAACATTCTCCAAAGAAGATAGCTGTAGACGGTGAGTTTTTGGGTTTAGGCATATTTTCTTTTCATTGTCTCTGGACATATTAGATATATATTTAGCCATGTAGCATCGTTTTTGAAAGGGGGACAGTAAGAGAAAAAAATAATTACTTACCTGAAAAAAGTAACTGTTGTCAAGCAAAAAAAAAAAAGAAACTTGCCCAAAGTCGAAAATCCTATTTCTTATGGGGAGGGACAACTTTTTTCAATGCCATTTTCCTTTAATAGCATTTTTTTTAACCTCCTACAATACTACATTTTCCTTATATCACAAAAAGTTGGGGGGGGGGGGCAACCAGCCTGTTCATGAACATTTCGTATAGTCTAAGTAATATCGGGCGAAAAAGTGGGTGGAGGGCTGCCCCTGTCTTAATTGCTGTTGATGCTAACTGAGTTTTTGGGTTTTACCTATTTTCTTCTTTTCATTGTCTCTGGTCATATTAGAAATCTATTTTCTCCTCTCCCGATAGGGAATAAAATAAAATGATCGGCCCCTTCCTCTTCCTAAAATTAAATTGTCCAAAGAAACAGCCTACATTTTGGAACAATTTAATTCAATATAAATAGCAATTCGGCCATAAAATCTTTGTTTAATACAAAGAATAGTTCAATGGTAATTGATGAATTGTCTTAATACCAGCGATAAGCAGAAAATTATCCATAATTCTACCTCTTGAAAAAAGGTGGAAGACGATATTTTCCATTAAAAGTTTCAAGCATCACCGTATTTTGAAATAGTTGGATATGATGAAATGTTCCTCATATCTTTTCTTATGTTTTAGTAAAATAAATAAAACCTAAATATGTTAATAAAATATAATGTTTCAGTTGTAAATCGCTTTGAAATTGGTGGAAAATAAGCACTTTTATCGTTTTTTGTCAATAAGCATATGCCCCCCAGTGTCACACCAAAAGCTTTGGTATGAATTTTTTAAATAACATTCCATTTTACATGTAAAAAGGAATTTTTGTGACATGGGGGATGTTTTAAAAATATTTTCCTTTTTCCGTTGATTTCTATAGTGAAAACACAAGTTTTACCACAATTTTAAAGTTATCTCTCTTTGTTTTCCCAAATAAGTAATGGTTTATGAAAATCCATATAATTATCAATAAAAAATATTTAAAAATTCATCGAATATGTTAACTTTTGAAAATTGACTTGGAGGTAGGCGGGAGAACAATGCTATCTTTCGCACTTCTTCAGGAGCCAAGGTTGTAGAGTGTGTGCTATTATTCTATTGTTGTATTGAAGGTAGGGTACCAGGGATGTGTTCCCATTTCGCCTTAACTGTGAAATACGGGTAAGAAAAATTTAAAAAGCACTAAGGCGAAATGGAAATTTTAGTATTTGTAAATGTTATTATCATGTTGACAAAAATTTTTTAAAGATTAAAATTGTTTAGTTTGAATTTAACAATTAATGGGAATTTATGAATACTGTGAATGAAATAATACGTGTAATACCAAAAAATACTTTATGCTAAATATATTAAATCTTCATCACCTAAATTCACCTGAGAGCTTACTAAGGCGAAATGGGTGCCAAATTTTACAGTTAAGCGAGATGTAAGTTCCGAACAAACAACAATGTTTGAGTTGGACACCTGAAACATCACACTTGCTTTATTCACTTTACTGAATAGAACTTGACCAAAAGAAATCCATCGTAATTAACGAAATAAATAAACAATCTAGGATTGAATTCAAATGAAATTATCGCCTACAAATAAGAAATTATACAATATAAAAATATAAAATGCAAATAAAAAAATATAGAAATTCATTACAAATGATTTCAGTGTATAAATAATGGACTAACAATTAGTATGAAAACGTCAGTCAGTATTTGACTCAATGATAAATTGTATTATATTTGTTGACAAGATCATAATATTAACCATAGAACGTACGAAATGATGACTTTAAAGGGGCCTGGACACAGTTTCAACTGAATTTTTTAAACCATTTAATGTTTACAATTCCTACCTAAGGCATAATCTATCGATTAGCAAAAAATTTGAGCATCATTTGTTGATTAACAAACAAGATACAGAACTTAAAATTCTTCATAATGTAAACAAGGCTCGTGCCTTGTTTTTGTTTACATATAGAAAATATCATATTTATATCAAAATAAAGTTCAGCAAATCAATAGTAACTGTCGAATCGTATAATAAAATTAACTTTTATTTGAAAGAATCTACTTTGAACGAACATTTATAAGTATATTAACCTGTGTAAACAAAAACATGACATTAGCCTTCTTTACATAAAAAAGGTTTGGATCTCTAAATCTGTCTTGTATCTGGATAACTGGCGTTCAATTTTTTTATGATCATTAGAAAGACCCTAGTTAAATATTTGTAAAAATAGAAAAATAAATTTTAAAATTTGAACTGAAACTGTGTCCATGCCCCTTTAAACAAGCCTGCTGATGTTCTTGCTTCCTCAACTAGTTTGTCAATAATTTACCTCGTTTTAGAAATTGTTCATATGTAGAGCATGCTCTTGCGTATCGAATTAGATGCGATATATAATCTCCGTATTCAGGTAATCAGGTAAGGAAAATTGACGATAGAAAAGTTAAAGTCATCACGTTTATAATAGAGCTTGGTTGTTAGCTATAGATTACCATTAAGTAAAACATCCAAGTATGAAACAGGCCAAGGTGTGTCTAAATAATTCAAATAGAAAGTACCGGTATCCAAATAAATATTATAGAATCCAATTTAAAAATTATAGAATCCAAATAAGAATTATATAATACACTGTGCAAATACCAAATATGAAGACTTTATCTTTTGTGGTTTAAAAGTTATGGCAAAGGTACGAAAAACAATTTTTTGCAAACAGGTCACAGTCAAGGTCACAAGGTCATTGACCTTGGTGTCATTTGAAAGAGATCAGTTAGTTGTGTATACATAATATCTATTAAGTCTCTATCTTTCATGGTTCAATACTTTAAAGTTATGGCGAATGTTAAAGTTTGCAGATAAAAAGCTATTTTTAGCATATAGGTTACAGTCAAGGTCACAAGGTCATTGACTTTGGTTTCATTTGAAAGAGCTTAATTAGTGGAGTATATATACCGAATATGAAGTCTCCATCTTTCATGGTTCAAAAGTTATGGCGAAGGTAAAAGTTTGCAAACAAACATACAAACAAACAAACAGACAGACAGGACAAAAACAATATACGTCCCGGATCTATCAATCCGGGCGCATAAAAATATTTGGAAACGCGCATCACACCTCTTTCAGGTTGAAGACAACTAACTGGCACATTATAATGAATTTGAAATCACAAATCAATGATTCATATGGTTATCCTGTAGCTAGATTGATATGATTATACAATCAATTTTGTAAAAGTGAAGGGATTAAGTGGTAAAAATTAAATATATTTGCAAAAATGTAATTCAGTGTAATACTTGTAAATATGCAGAATAAAATGGAAATTGTCAATCAAATAGCAAGTCGTGTGGTTAGTTATTTTTCTTCACAATAAAAAATACATGACAATTGTAACCCTGAGCAGCGCCACATCAAAACAAAACTATTGATTTCCTGTTAAAATTCAAAATTACCATACATAATCATTAAATAAAAAATTAAGAAAAAAAAAGCAAATTCAAAGAATTGTGGTCCCCCGCTTTCGGTGTTTGTGGGTGAGATGTCATTTTTTATGACATATTGTCTCAAATATGAACGCCCTATCATATGTCATTTAGAAATTATCAATGAATTAGGATTTTTAAAAAAGAAATCATGTCAATTGTCAAGGTCAATGGGTCACAAATCATAGCATGCATGGAAATATCTTGTCACAGGTAATGCACATGTCAAATATGAAAAGCATATCTCTTCTCAAGATAAGGAACAAGATGTATTTGTGAAACACTGATGACCCCATATGGCTACATAGCGAAGATTTAACTTTTCTTAATTAAATGCAAATTAAATATATTATTACCTAACATTTTTATTAATAGTAGGTCAAACTCCAAGGTCAAGGTCATGCTTCATCTTCAGTGAAAGGTTCTGTCACAAGGATTAAATATGTGAAACATCAATGCCTTAACCCTTACCCTTTAAAAGTTATGAACAATGATTGCTTTTTAAAAGTAAGTTAAAATCCAAGGTCATTGTCAAAGGGTCAAAGTTCTTTTTTTCCAATGAAAGGTCTTCTCACAAGGATTACATAGGTGAAGTATGAAAATCCTATCCCTTACCGTTCAAAAGTAATGGCCAAGGTGAATGTTTTTCTCAAGTACAGAAATCTTCAAGGTCAAAGTCAATAGGTCAAGGTTGTTGGTATCCAATGAAAGGCCTTGTCACAAAAATACATATGTGAAATATGAAAGTCTTAATATCTACCATTCAAAAGTTATGGCCAAAGTAAAAGTTCAGATTTTTTGTTTGACAGTTAGCCAAACTCCAAGACCAAGGTCTTTGGTGTAACCCAAAGAAAGGTCTTGTTACAAGAAATACACATGTGGAATATAAAAAATTCATAGCTCCACTTCATCAAAAGTTAAGGGCTAGGTTAAAGTTTTTGTGACGGACGAACAGACTGACAGACGGATAGATTAACAGAGTGACGGACAGACGAATGAGATTTAATGTCCCCTCGCTTTTTCGGGGGACAAAAAAGCATGGCAACTGAATCGGAGGTTCCCTATGCTGTGGAGGCGCAGGAGGAATATGGGCCAAGCGATGAAGTCTTATCCACCCACTGACGCCATATTGAGGTGAAGGAATTGATGTGTTAATAAACGTGTATTGATTGATATATAAATCACCTGTGTTTAAGGCCATATTTGATTCTGCCTTCAGCGAAAAAGGCAGACAAAGAGTGCCACTTCCAGATAAGAAGTATACTAATTTTGTATTTTTATTTAACGTGTTATTAATGTTTCCCTATTTAAATGAAATAAAAAACGGGTAGACATAAAATAGGAAGGGATGTGCCTGTTTGTTAGGGACACACTTATATAAATAGCTAAATATGTGGTACATTTTGAAAAATATTTACAGGGAGGAAATTGTTAAAGAATGCCAAAATCAGGCCGTCCAAGGTGTACAAAAATCCGTGAAGACCATTATTTGGTCCATGTTGAAAAGAAGCACCTCATCCAAAGTGCTGATAAGTTATTACTGAGTTTTAGAGAGTAACAGGTGAGCGGATTTCTAGTAATACGTTTTTAAACAGACGTCATGAAGCAAGTCTCACATTATCTGCACATTATTGAAGGCACCATAACAGGTTACAACTACAAGGATGATATTCTTCATCCTATTGCAGATACTGTGGGGGAAGATATCATCTTTATGCCTATGGACAATAATCCTGGACCTCATAGAGCCCGAATTAAAACAATTCAGCGTATAGACTGACCAAGTCATTCTCCGGACCCGAAAAAGCTTCACTACCTGAACCCTGAACTTCAGAAAGTATTGTGGGAAGAATGGCAACAGTTCCCCCAGGCTAGCCTTGCAATGCTTAAATTAAAACTGCATTTTGTTTTCTATGAAAAAGTAAAGGTAAAATATATTCGATATGATGGCCCTTATTTTTTCTATTTCATCAGAATAAAGATTTTCTATAGATTAGCTCAGCAATTATATTTACAAACATGGCGACAGTCTAAAAAACAAAAATTATTATTTTTTAACCAGGTTAAAATCTCTGTTGTATTCCGATACTAATATATTTTGCCTGCACAGTCGATATTCCAAAACTTCCACTCTTTGTCGAAGTATCTTGGATTTAGTTGATTCTGAAATATTTTTATATCCCTCTTTATCTTTTAACTTGCTATTGCTACATTTAGATGCAAGGTCTATCGCCGCATTCAGAAGATTTTTCAGATTAAATCGTTCTGCAACAATAATGCATTCAAGAAGTTTATCGAAGGTAATGGTAATGGGTTCTGGTGTATATGACCTTTCTTCACATTTTCTAACTAGACGATCTTCAAATTTTTTTTTCTCGTCCGACGTTAAAGTGATCCAAAACAATTCTATAGCCTTCAAATTCAGTTTTCCTGAAGTGAAAACAAAATACTAGTATACAAATGAATCTAATTAACTAATCGTAATTTGCTATAAAAACTCTGTATGATTAAATGCAAAAGTGTTCCTATAAAACTTGCTTTAGATGTAAAATTAAATAATTGAAAAATAATGTAATATTTACTAGTAGTTTGTAATGCATTGTATATTCAAGATTGCTCAAAACTTTTAAATGCTACCACCAAAATTAAAAAAATTATTTGCATGTATTTTCCAAGTGAAATAAAGAACACTGATTTCTGTTCGTCATTTTTTGCTGCTAGTGAATGTCCGGTACTTTATGTTGATAAATCGGTAACCTCAATAGTAACATTTTTATTTATTTTCAATGTTTTTAAATTAAAATCCCAAAATTTAAAGAGAACTAGTATCCTTAAATTACGCGCGGATCTAAGGGGGGGGGGGGTGGAATTTGCATAGAGTGGACCTCCCTTGAAAAAGTCGATTTTTGTGAAAATTGTATGAAAATTCATAGGTATATAAGTCAACGACTACACACTCCTACCCCATCACAAATGGGATTTCACGTTTTAGAAATGAATAAAAGCTTTTTGTTTGTTTGTTTGTTTGTTCTTTTTTTTCATATCAAGGAATTTCTCGGTTGGATTTTTTTTATTGGGGTGGAGCCCCCTGGAAAAAAAATCCTGGATCCGCATCTGATTAAAATTATCTTAAAATTGAAATACCTGTGGTTAATGTTGGTTTCAATTCATTCTCCAGTAGAGTGTTTCGAAGTTCTGAAATTCTTCTTCGCATATCAGCAGTTAATTTAGTATCAATTTCTGCTACCTTTAAGGACTCTGCAGGGCATTTTGCACACAATGGTATGGCAAATGGAAGAACGGAGTCCATGTTATATTGTTCAGCAAAAGAAGTATAATTTAATAGAGTAGATGTTTTGATGTGTTTTTCTTCATTTTTAGCGGAATTTTCACAAACTTCTGTGAGAAATATTTCGCATTTGACTTTGACGGCTGGAATCTGATATTCCTCTGCTAATGGAATAATCTTTAGTACTGTATTTTCTGTAACAGAAGAACGCACGGTCTTAAGCATACAAATAGTTCTTTTATAAAATGCCCTAATGATAAGGCACAGTTTTCTAACGTAGTACAGTTCGTGAATTATAACTGCAACATTACTTATAATTAACGAATTGTACAACAAACTGCAAAATCACTTTCAATGGCTCAAATGTTGGTGACTGGGAGAGATATTTGTAACCTGAATTCAATTGCAAACCATATGGATATTCTAGATATCAAACTCGCTGTTCCGCAGAAAATTTGAAAAAAAGGTTAGACTTGCACATTAATATGACTAAGTTGCACTGCTTCTCACGTTTCCTTGTTTTTTATCTATTACTATATATTCCCAATATTCCACAGTAACTACTTTTGCAAAAGTCATATATGGCATAAATATGTTTGTTCGAGTTTTGCCTAATGGAACTTTGATGAAAGATATGGAGATAACGAACAGTATTCAATCTCAAATTCCATTAAACAATACAAATAGGAGAAGAGCAAACATGGACCTCCGAAACATTAGAGGTGAGATCAGGTGCCATGGAGAAGTGATCATGCCCTGCTGACCAGTCACACCCGCCGTGTGCTCCTTGTCATAATCAGAAGGAAAATCCGTCTTCAATTCAGTGTATAAATGATGGCCTAACAATAAGTATGAAAAATGTCAGTAAGCATTTGACTCAATGATAAATTGTATTTGCTGACAAGGTCATTGTTTCGACTATAGAACTTACGAAATGATGACTTTAAACGAGACTGTCACTCGATTTAATTCATTGCCATGAATATGGCCAGTGCACATACTGTTTGTTATGTCAGTTTGCCGTGATTGTGGTTAAAGGCAAAAACATTGTAGGATGTCTCTTAATAAAATCAACGAAAATATAACTCCAACATGATCAAAGAATTACTAAAAAAAAAAATAACCTTTTTTCGTAAATAAAATCACAATTCATTTGTACTGCTTTTCTAAAAGATCTTTGCATTCTTTAGTAAAATTAAATTGTTTATATAATAGAAAAAATTGTAATCAACTGTTCTTAAAGAGAAACTTTTTATTAATTTATTTTATTTTCTAGTGGATAAGAACTTGACCTTTAATTGCGATGATTCAATTGAAGCTAGCATTTAGGTCATCTGAGTCATAGGTCACCTATTGCTACGTGTTCTTGTCTCTTTTCGTGCTAAAAACTATTCCAATTTTAAAACTTCTCAAGTATTACCGGGCAAATTTCTATCAAGCTTGCCGCAACGTTTTCGTGGATAGAAAGGATTCAGTTTATTTAAATGAAGAGCAGTGCCCTTTACAAGAGGTAAATAACCCCTCAAAAGGTAAAAATATGTTTGGGTCATGTAAAAATTTTCTTACCAAGATCCGCCGGACCAGAAGAGATGAAACGTAAATCGAGGCTTCCTGACATACACACGGGCATACACACGTAGTGTAGATTCGATTCCCTTGGTGAATAGTGCTGGGGCACAAAAAGGATGAAAGTTTATATAATACAAAGTCCAGGTTTTTGATATCATTGACAGCTGCTTTTTCAACAAAAATGGAACTCGAAAATTTACTTACCTTGTCGTTGGTCATTTGCAAAATTATTTTGTTAAAAACATTCTGATTGTACACACACGTACTCTGAAGTTGACATAAAAAGATGCTTGAGTTTTTAATTGACAATATCTATGTGGTTTTTGGAAACCAGGTTTATCAACAATTTATTGGAGTTTCCATGGGTACCAATTGCGCCACGTTATTAGCAAACCTCTTTTTATATTCATATGAAGCAGAATTTGTGAAAATGTTATGTGTGAAAAGAAAAAACACTTGTTGTGGTAATTGAAATTTCCATTCTAACGTCGATACGATATATTCTGTCGAGTTCGAGCTAAAAAATACAACACATCTGTTTCATATTAGGATATTTTACTTTAAAAAGACGCTAATGGTAATCTAACAACCAAGCTCTATGATAATCGTGATGACTTTTTACGAGAAGCACTGAATTTTCAGTTGACGATTTACTTGGACATTAAAACCTCTATCATGTACAGGGATACAGAATTGATCATAGATAATAAGTAAACCTTTCTAGTGGTCAGAGGGATGGTGTTGGGGCACAAACATGTGGAGGCCAGGATTTGATGGTAGGGTGATTGTCGTTATCTTTATGGTTAACATATCTGTGCTTTGAAATAAACGTTTTTTTGTGTTAATAAATGTTGAGCTAAAAATTTATATCGTAAAAGAACTTCCGTACATTGCCCTAGTGCTTCAACTTTGGCGCGTATGATGTCAAAAATGAACACTCATTTACATGAAGAATAAGTCTTTACATCAAAACTTGATAAAATCTAAATAAATGTATATGGAGTTTGAATTATTGACAGTAATGTACATATTTCCACGTTTTTTAAAAAATTCAAATCATGATACATACAACTGTATATACTTAATACATGTAGTTTGTTGCATAATTTGATCTATGCTGCAGAGGAAATAAATAATGTTTGTTTGTCTATCTTTAGATACAAACAATCGCTTTTTAACTTTCTAATAATATAATTAATAAATTAGACTCTATGATGACCATAAAGAGGTAGGTTCACTGACTACATAAAATGGTCCTGTCATTATACCAATTTATTGGCGAAGTCCTTACGTCCCATTTCGAACATCAACATAAAACAGAGACTTAGTGCTCTCTTTTCGTAAAAAAAAAATGCATCTGAGAGTCCAAGTTTTGATACTCAGGCTATGTGAAACTTCAATGTTCTTGAATTTTGAAAAAAATGAGTGAATTTGAGCATCTTCAACTATTAATTAAAATATGAACCTACTCCTTGATCTAAAAATTGTTTCAATGATAAGAATCTTCTGAAACAGTTCTTTCATTATATAGTTAAACATTTTAGATCAGAGGTTGGTACTTATGCAAAATATTCAAAAACGGCTTCAATTTTGGCCATTTTCAAGGAAATTTTCAAGATTTGAGGAAAATGACGCAGTTCATGACGTTATAATACATGTGTACATGGACAAGAGAAATCATTGCATCATTTTTATTTAATATGAAGTCACCAAGGATCCAAGTAAAAGTTAACATATTTTCAACTAAAAATGAGCAGTTCTGATTTTTCAGGAATTCACAGGGCCAAAGGAGGCCCAAGGTGAACCTTGTTCTTTATATTATTAAGATATGTAATAATGGTTTAGCAATTTTTCTTTTTCCTATTTTTAGCGATTGGAAAGAGTAAGAACCACTTAAGACCTTTTTGGCCCCAAGAATTTCTGAAAAATCAAAACTGCTAAGAAAATGCAGTAATTATCACCTGGACTGTTGATGATCATGTACCAATTCAACATGTCGTAATTTCCCCTCAAGTCAATGCATTGTGACCTCATAAAATGAGTCATTTTACCCACATTCTATAAATTCTTTTAAAAATGGCCTATAATTGAAGTATTTCTTCACTATTTCATCTAGAGCATAACCTCTGATCCATCAAATGCAATTAAATAACAAAATGAAAGATCTGTTTCTGAAAATAAAAATAACCCATATTTTAATTTTTGGATCGTGGGATCTGCTCATATTTTATTATTCTTTGCTGAAGGTAGTTTTTTCTGCAAAATTCAAAAACAGTGCATTTTCTCAAAGCCTGATTTCCAATACTTAGATTTTTAAAAAGAAAATTTATTATTGGAGAGTCTGTATGATATGGGAAGGAGGGTAAAACTTAATAATTGATATAACGACAGGGCCATTTTATGCATAAAGTGAACCTTTCTCTTTTTCATACCCATTTGCTTTTTATTTTTCTACGAGACTTACCTGTTATAGAATCTTCACGTCCCGGGTAATAAAATGTGTATAAGAAATTCACAAAATCGTCATACATCTTCCCTGTCAATGATATCCTTTCTTTGTGTTTTTCAGTGAATTCCAACTCAAACATGGCCTTAAACACAGGTGAATTGTCCGCTAACACCTGTTTATTGACGTGAATATCCCGACCCTCTACCTCCAGTATCATGTCGGTTGGAGGAAAGTCTTTGTGTGGCTCATCTTCGTCAGGTTGAAAACCTCTTTCCTCTGATATCAAGTCCAGATCGTCTACATTTAGACCTGATAAATCGAGAACATCCGCCATTGTTCTTCCACTTTTAAGAGGTGCCTTTAAGGTATTGGTCAGTTACGTGCCTATCTAACTGCACTGCAGCATAGATTGTAATATTTAGATTAAGTGCAACTAGTATACTGAAATAATTAACTTAACCTAGTGTATTTACTATACAATATCTACAGTCACATCACTTAAACTTTAAATGAAACACATTTCCCTGTCAAAAAAACCATTTTTTGCTCATTCATTGTATAACTTTGTTTTTTGACTTAAAAAATCTGCTTTCTTGTCTTTTAAAATACTACCATATAAAAATTGGCATAAAATTGATAATTTTTCTTTTTTTTAATGACAAATGATAAAAAAAGGATCCATGACAATGTCATTCAAATATATGAAAAAATCCCTTTGGTTCCCTCTCCGGTTTGAAAAAGAAGAGCATTCAACTGTCTTTTACTATTGATCATGTTGATATCGACTCTTATAGAGGCATTTAAATAAACTTTGTATATTTCCCAGATGCATATGAAATTAACTTATGCGTTTATCATAGAATGACTTTGTCTGTTCAAGATAATGTTAGTATATTATTTTAGTAGAAGATAATAATAGAATGCATTCCTATTTCTCGAGGAGATCACGTGACCGTTCTCTGCAACAAACGCAGGAGAATAAAACATACGCTCAACAAGAACCTCGGGTCAGCCGCAAACTTTTCTGACCAATTATTATACCCCATGCAAAATGTTACGGGGAATACAGGCACGTAGCAGCTGGTGGAAGCTTCCTCCCCCTTTTTTGTTACAGTAAAGCCAAGCAAGGGTGAAGTCGTCTTGTATGAATAAAATTTGGCGCTGAAGGAAGTGGGACCTACACCCCCCTCCTCTAACTAAACAGGAGTTTCATTTTTTTTTCTCTGGCTTGCCCCCTGTGGCAACGCACTTTGAAAAAATTACGCACTTTGAAAAAATTTCTCAAAGTGCGAAATCTTTCAAAGTGCGTTGTAACACCCTCCCCCCTTCAAAAACGATGGTACGTCACAATAATATTTAATACTATTGACATGTATGTATGTGAAGACATTCTTATTCTACTTTTTTTATCTTAATAAGAGGAGGTATTGACTTGTTAAAAATATTGCAAGGATAAATAATCTATAAAATACATGTTGTATCTGTAAAAAATAGATTCTGCTGAGAGATTTATTTCAGCTTTGAGGTCTTGTATTTAATTATCTGCTATTCTTTATTGGATTATTCAATTGGATATTGTTTGTTAATCAATTGTTTGTCCTGTTCAAACCAGATATACAGGGAATATTTCCCCGCCATATTTATACAAACACTAAACAACACGAGATGTTTCATTTAGATCACTAGAGTTCAATCAGTGATCATGCGCATATTTAACACTAGTGCGACACGGGTTGTCTTAATCGAATACACTCATAGTGTTCCGTCCTGTGCGGAGCATAAGAGGTAGGGCGGTACCAAGCTTCGAAACGTTGTATTTCACGATTTTCACATTACAATACAGCGACTGAGATGGTTACTACGTTTATACCAGTAATTAATTGTGTTTTTTCAAATGTGTAATATAGCAATACTTAGAATGGAATTTTTCATTGGTTGTTTTGAATAATACCAATGTGTAAATAATACTAACTTGTCACGAAGGATTTTTTAAGAAAGCACGGCTAGTGGTGTAGCGTAAATTTGTCTCATATTGTTCTTATCACTGGATTCATTAGATCTTCTTTTAATTACTGTTTTGTGTTCGATTCCCTATACGCTGTAATAAACAATTTATTGCATGGAAGTTCGAGAGACATTAATATTTCTCCATCCCTTCTTTTTAAAAGAACTTTGGTTTTTATTTCGAAAATCTTACAAAAATCTGTATTAAGGTATTAAGGAAAAGTCATCTATTTCTTTACAATAGAGTAAAATTTTTCGATTCCACACTTTTTGTCACTGTCTTCGCTTGACTGCACCTATTGTACAAGTGTCTGATTAAGAGTTTTGAAACATAAGACTGTCCTTGCACATCTTTGGGCAAAACATGTTTAAAAAAGACTGTTTTAAACATTGCACTATATTTTCCTGACATGTACTGTTTACTGTTACTCTTAGCGTAAAAATAATTTAACCATATTTTTTAAGGTCGACTATTTGCAATCCGTTAAAGTAAACATGCAAGATGGTATTTTGGCTGGCATATTTCTTACCAATTGTAAGGGCATCATTTTTATACTAAACAAGACTACTCCGCCTTTAAAGCTCATAACGTCGTGGCCAGTTAGCAAAGGGTGCTTACACCTCTTATGCACCTGATCACACTTTTTTATTAAGCCCTGTTGACGATACAAATTTTTGGTGGATTTATGAGATTGGTAAATCTTTATTATCTTCACTAATCATACAAAAAAATAAACAACCAACATAAATATATATGATACTGCAGTCTTTAAAATAAACGAAACATTTTTATTTTTATGTAATCCACAAATTCATTTCTCTTTCTTTGAGAACACTTTAACTGCAATCTGTTCTTTGTATCAAGTATTTATATTCTTTACTAAAAAATATCATAATAGTTTTAAATTGACCGCTGTTATAATGTTAGATCTTCAACATATTCAGGAGACTGAGAATGACCACGGCAGTCAGAGGAAGTACATTTCTATAGAAACTGATGTCACAATGGAGGTAAATATTATATCGTATAAAAACGTATCAGTAAAGAAATTTATACAGGATTCCCTTTGATTCAGGTAGAATCACCGAAAGCAATTTTTGCAATTGTTTATGATGACAGATTATTGGTTATACCAGCTTAACTATCATTTTCTCCGAATGTCAAAATTGAAAAATATGTAGAAGGATAGAAGGCATGAAAAACGTTTGAAATCACAGAAAGTACCAAACATAAGGATAACAAACTTTGAAAAAACGTCCGTCCTCCAAGGATGTAGATGGGAGAAAAGGCAGAGTAACGCACCGCGTGGTCAGAATTTCATTTGTTAGATTTTGATTGGTCAGACTTTGGTCAATCTCTGCCTCTCCTACCTCGGTAGGACATGAAACAAAATTACCATTACAAAGCATAGCTATACAATATTTCAGACTTTCACATTCAAGGAGGACACTTATTGATTACAATAAAAAATTCTAAGTAAACTTAAATTTATTTATTTTAATGCAATAAGTATTTTGATATCCCGGTTACCCATCAACTGGCTAATTTCTTTCCATAATCCTTTCAACGCTAGAACACCTTATCTTATCCTCCTTCAATGAGTAAAAAGTCTGTAAAACAGTTTGTCGTGTGTTGCCACCTTTGTGACGTTTAATAATTTGTTTGAAATTCTCAAAAGTATTATTAACAATGACATATAATTTTTAGCAGACACAAGATATCAAGATGAGAAATAAACCAATTTTGTAAAGGGAGATAATCCAAATTTACAGTAATTACCACTTAGATTTAACAGAAAAATCATGAAAATGGGTCTGAAAACGCCACTGACTTGACCGAACTAGGGAAAGTTCAGACCCATAAAGGAAAAATAAAGGGCAACACACCTCAAACATAAATCATACCAAAAGTGAGTAAAATGTACATAACTATTCTGTACATTTCAAAAATGGGAATAAAAATATGTCCCGTAATGCAACAAAACAACTTTTTCATGAAATATGTATGACAAGATACTGTTTCTATTAATCTTTTACAATTCAATTATGATTAAAAAAAATTGAATTCACAAGTGTCTTATGAGGGATAAACATATGCCCCCATCATAACCAAATGAGGTTACTATTCCAAGTGTATGCTGTCTGTGTGTCCTAACTATTAAACCAATAAAAACATATTTGAAAAAACGCCCTTTTATGTATGTTCGATACTGTATGTTCTAACGCATCACAAATTTTATGCAGAACTACTATGGTTATTGGTAAACGAATATCCATTGAAGGTCTTGATTTGCGACAGGAACTTAATAGTTTCTGAATGAGAAAGCATGATGAATTGTCAGGCAAATTATTAATTTTATGTATATATGCTATTGATGAAATAAATGACACGATAGAGGAGGCTGCATAACCTTCAGCAAATAAATAAGAGATAAACAAAGCCAAAGTTTCCTTAGACAACGGAAGATCATTACTCAAAACAAATTTGTTTGCAAAATTTCTATAAATAGACTATGCCCGTTTATATGCTTGAGTGGAAGCTGGTGCCAATGTTGAAGTCAACAGGTTCCTTAAAACTGGTTCTAAGGACGTAATGTTGGCAGATTGGGAATCACCGTTGGTTCTTTGTCCATCCAAAGAGCAAGTTGATGGAACTGCTGCACCTTCAAACGAGACAAGCAATCACATAGAATATTTTCCTTGGTACTAAGATGCCTAGTTTTGAACAAAACGTTAGACTGCAAACAAATTAGCACTAACTCTCTAACCAAATACATTATACTTTTATCCTTAGACGATTGCTTGTTAATGATATGCACAAGGGCATAATTGTCTGTGTAAAAATAAATGCATTTGTTTTTAAAAATATGACTCCAAACTTTAAGAGCTAACACTTTTGGGTAAAATTCCAAGAGAGTAATATTACATTTTTTCCATTTATCATTCCAAGTCCCATAGAACCAGTGCCCACCTAACACTGCCCCAAATCCTATAGATCCTGAAGCATCTGTATAACATACAGTTTTAATTCATCGGAATCAACCCACCTATCCGATAAGAAAACTGTCCTACAATTAAATTTTTCCAAGAAGGCTAACCAAGTACATAAATCTGCCTTTACCTCTTTGTTTACTCTAATGCGATAATATGTTTTTGTAATGCCAATAGTAGTATTGATAAGTCGCCTTAAAAATGTTCTACCTGGCAAGACCACATTACACACAAAATTAAGAAGACCAATCACTGACTGCATATCCTTCAAAGTAATCTTTCTGCTTGGTAAAAGCTGTTCATTTGTATCTCTACATTTTTTAACTTTATCAATAGGTAGCCTTGCCTCCATCATCTCGGTGTCTAATTCATATTCCAGAAAACCTTGTTAGGGCCAAATGTCTTATCCTTAGCCATAGGTAAACCTATGTCGGCGCAAACTGTTAAAAATGCCACAAGTTTTTTTGTGGCACTCTGTCGCAGATTTGTCAACAATTAGAAAATCATCTAATAAATGAGTCATTTTCCGACCCGTTTTTATGATTTTTCTGTTAAATCTAAGTGGTAATTACTGTAAATTTGGATTATCTCCCTTTACAAAATTGGTTTATTTCTCATCTTAATATCTTGTGTCTGCTAAAAATTATATGTCATTGTTAATAATACTTTTGAGAATTTCAAACAAATTATTAAACGTCACAAAGGTGGCAACACACGACAAACTGTTTTATAGACTTTTTACTCATTGAAGGAGGATAAGATTAGGTGTTCTAGCGTTGAAAGGATTATGGAAAGAAATTAGCCAGTTGATGGGTAACCGGGGTATCAAAATACTTATTGCATTAAAATAAAAGGTATTATGTGTGATTTTGTATATTGTTGAATAGATATATTAAAATACATGGTTAGTGTCTTGAAATATATACGATATTTGGGCGGGGGTAAGAAAACATGATAGAGGGCGAGGCTTGCCGAGCCCTCTTACGTTTTCGACCCGAGCCCAAATATCGCTTTTATTTCAAGACAGTTATTATGTATTTTGTTTATCCTGCAACATATTTTTTACATTAGCACAAGACAGTTATTATGTATTTTGTTTATCCTGCAACATATTTTTTACATTAGCAACGGGGGGGGGGGGGGCAACATTACCTTTACTATTGAAAATGTCCATTGAAAGGTTGGTTGGCCCCCCACTTCTTACCACGGAATAGTGATATCAAGGAAATGTATGCCAAAAAAAAAATGGACGTGAAAGGAAGTTGGCCTCAAAAAAAGTTGGCCGCTCCCCCCACCCCCACCCCCCAGAAATACACGAAATAGGATTTCCGAGTTTGGGCAGTTTCCCTTTTTTTTTGCTTGTCAGCTTTTACAGGTAAGTAAAAAAAATTTTCTGTGGTTGGCTTTCAAAAACGATGCTACATGCCTGTCTATGACGCCATGGTGTAAACATTGCAATATATTTACATTCGCTGTGTTTTTCTAGTAAGCCAACTGTGAAATTGATTTGAAAACCATTTTCGTGTATACTCACGCGTAGAAATAAACACGGAGAAATGTGCGTTAACGTGACGTTACAATGAGGCTGAAGCGTCGTAAGTAAAAATGCAACGATAAAGGGCAGTGAGAAACTCAAATATTTAACATATTTTAGTTGCTTCCAAACATGTAAAATGTAAATATAAGGAATGTTTTTAAGTTTAAGCTACCACTTGCCGGTGGAATGCTATACACTTTACTCTAGGCTATAGAGCAGACGCTCTCACCACTGCTCAACGGGAACTATCATTGTAAATTTTGAATAAAATTTTTTTAAAAATCTTCTTTCTGTCAACATCTAAAAACCACCTATACATTTTTCTTATCCAGGATCATACATTCACCCCTACTAATGTTATTGTGATTTAAATTCAAGACATGTGGTTTAGGTTTACGTATTCAAAGATTATAGGGTAGAACCGGTCTTATAAATAAAATTGGCAGTAAACAGGAAATTGCTATAGTCTGTTTCTTCTAAAAACATGTCCTGTGAAATATGTGTTTCCAAACCTTTCTGAAAGACTTTCATGATTTTCAACAGAAATGATTGGCTTAAGGTGGATGGGATGGGTAAATAACATTAATACATCTTGTTATAGTTTACTGCAAACATTACAGCTCACTAGCGACTGATACGCTGGTAAAAAATGTGTTTACAATATCATCTACACTGACTAACCTTTGTTTGCTTTATATGGCTATTGCTATTAATGCGCACAGAGGATCTTACCACGAGCAACTGAACAATTGTTGAAAGAATAGCAACGTTTACGCCAAGCACATGTTTACCTGTTACTTCGAACACGTTGTTCAGGTCAATTTATGATCATGTCAGTGGAGTGCAAAATAAAAAAGAAATGTTCTAATGAACAAAATGCAAACATTAGAAACAATGAAAGATAGCACGGGTGTTTTTAATTTGTTATTAACTAGAGAAAAATATGTTTAATAAAATGTATAGGTGGTTTGTATCAAGTTCTGATCACCAGCACTTCAAGGGCAAGGAAAACGAGCAGCTTCTCGTATGCATTTAAATGGGCACATCATTCTTTACATAACTATACTCGTGATCACGTGTGTTGGCCAGAGAATCCATCTGACAATTGTATTCACCGATAGTATAATAAAGGAATTTATCAAGCGTAAAATTTCTGTAGTATTCGTAGTAACCCATAATGCATTTCGCATTCATCTGATTTGTCAGTTAAAGTCACATTGGTGGTTCATTTGCTATTCTGACGCCAAAAAATATAGTCCCGGTTCCCATGCAAAATATTTGTCCAAAAAGAAATTTTTATTCCTGACAGCAGAAAATTGTAATATAGAGAATACTAGTACTTATAATTTAGACGTGAATGAATTCAAGAAAGATCGATTGAAGTGCTTTTCTTCAAAATGATATTATAGGATGGTGAAAACTAAAACGCAACATAGCTTTTCTGTTTACCATGTCTCCACGTGCTAATCACTTCCTAGCCACATTTCCGTGAATAATTTACCCTATCTCGCTGAAGTCTCGCTTACTCTCGCCATAGTCACTGTCAGAGCTACTCTGAACTCATCGGGTTTTATAATTTGCAGAACACCGAAAAAGAAAAGGTTCCGAACACATTAGTAGGGGTGACACTGAAAACTAAATGTGATCGATACACAAGACTCACGGTGGGTATGATTAGGGAAAAGTGGTACGTTTTCGCCATATGCACCTTATCCCTCTTCTAGAATTTTTATAGTATATAAAAAGTTTATATTGAAAGATCTAACAACTTTAAGATATAATTAATTTTATTCTTAATTTCTCAAAAAATACATATTATTGAATCCTCAAACAGGAAGGCAATACATAGGTATACATAATCCCCGGGTGCCTGTAGTTACTTTTAATATTTCTAATTTTTTTTTTTTTTTTTTTAAGAAGGAAATAAATAGTTATTACCTTTTTAATATTTAGCTATGGTATTCTAAGGAGATAAATTAATATGTATCATGTAATCATGCAAAATATCTTTAAAAAAAACTTATTGTATTTTGTTATAGTTTTCGTTATATCTTGATTCTGATATTTCTCTCCTCCAGCTATCAAACTCATCCTCAAATAATTCCATTCTTTTTACAAGTATTTTAGTTCTAGACGAATCTGTAATTCTTTGGTATCTTTCGTCTTTTCTCAATTTCTTATAACTACATCTAGATGCAAGGTCTATCGCTGCCTCCAAGAGTTTTCTCAGATTAAATCTTTCAGCAGCAATGATGTATCCAAGGAGTACGTGTAAGGATATAGCAGAAGGCTGTGATGAACTCGACCCCGATTGATGTTTACAAAAACTAACGAGACTGTCCTCGTATTTTCTTTTCTCAGTTGAGCTTTGAGAGTCCCACAGCAACACTGCAATTTTTAAAAAATCTGTTCTTGAACCTAGAAAGACAATTTTATACATAATGAAACTGATGTAATATACTGCATTTTCAACGGAAAAAGAAATAACTTTTCAAGATGTAATACCTGCATCAAGGTACGGCTTCAATTCTTTTTCCATTAAAGAATTTCGACAATCCGAAATACTTTTCCGTAAATCCCCAGTAAGCTTAATCTCGATTCCTGCTCGCTTTAAAGACTCTGTTGGGCACTCCGCACATAATTGGATGGCAGAGGGAAGTACAAATTTCATGTTAAATTGTTCAGCACAAGCAGTATATTCCACGAGAGTAGATGTCTCAATGTGCTTGTCTACATCTCTAGCGGTGCTTTTGCAAACCTCTTCGAGAAATTTCTCGCATTTATTCTTGACCACTGAAATCTGATATTCCTCGGCCAGTGGAGTTATCTTCAATACCGTTTTATCTGGAACAGAAATTGTTTTGTTCAGTACAAGTAACATATTCCACAAAAGTATAGGCTTCAATTTTGTTTACACCGTTTCTAGCGGTGGATCGACAAACATTTTTAGAAATATTTCGCATTTGAAGTGGAGGTTTCGATGAGGCCATTTTCGGCTCATGATAAATTTCAAGTGTGTTTAATAATACTGATTAATGTCACTTCTGTCATATTTCATAAATTTATTTGCTAAACCAGCTTTTAATAATTACGTGACTCGGGGGTTTCTAAAGAGTCTCTCTAAAAGTGCTTTAGACGGTTTAGAAGATTCATAATAATTTTGTTGAATATTTTATATGAGTAACAGAATAAAATCAAGCAAACATTATCAGAGGACATAAAATAATGTTAAAGTTGCACAAATACTTCTTTTAAAGTTATGTTTCCCCTTAAGTGACTCTCTGCGTTGAAAGCTTTAAAATTATTACAAAAAAAATGTGTACGCTCTTTATTCGTCATTCATAAATACTTTGCAAGGGTACGACAAACGAGGATGGTAAACATGGTGATTTTTCAATACCAGCTTTACATAATTACAATAAAATGCATAGCGAATGCGAACAATCTATACAGCTGTATAGGTTCAACCTGGAGGCAAGTGTTCCTGGATATAAGATTTTGCCTGGGTTATTTGGTACACTTCGAGGGTCAACGCTTTTATAAGTCAATTTCAGTCAAATGTGGAAAGTTTTGTAACTTTTGTAACTCATTTGAAGTATACGAGAGGACTTTCATTGTGTTTGCAAGAGTGATATCATTGTTTTCTTCACGTACCAAAGGTGGCCGGAAAGCATTGACAACAGCACATACTATTCTCACATAATTCCCTATTCATTTGATTTGACAGTATGGAAATACCTGATGTAATGCTTTCATTTGTTATTCGACCATTTGTCGACTCATCTTACTTTTGTTACATATCGGGGAGTGGTTTGCCTTCTCTGTCATGTGTTGTTTGGAACCTCGAGAAAGATAATCTAGCATCTCATTGTTGATTCCGAAAGAATCGAGAAACCCAATGGAATCCCGAAAGCCCCTGTCAACAACTAAAAGATCATCTCTCTAACCAAATGTTCAATGTTACTCTTTAAAATTTCAGCACCATTGTTCCGTCCATCAGCTAGATAAGGCCGTTAAACAGCAAGAATGTACCCATCGGTTCCAACAATCATCATTGGCTTTACCAGTGGTGTGTGTTTATGTCCGCTGAATGGTTGTCTTTGAAAAGAGAAATTACCACTTGTTTGAATATAAATATATGTGTCATTTAATAAAAGAATAGAAATCTGTCTCCCATCTGCAAGAAGATGTTGAGCAAAGGGTTTCGTGTGCTCTGAAGTGAAATCCTTACGTGTAATGTGTTCAAATCCTAAATACTTGGGAACAAAATGTTCCATCGAGACATCCCTTGCACTTGCAATAAATTTTAATTTGAAACATGCTACTTAGAACACTTCATGAATTTCAGGTCTTAATTTTGTCAATAACAAAGCCAAGCATGTTCTTCATGACCTGTTATTAGAGTCTCTAACCGGTGTCAAGTAAGAGCAACGTTTTTCAATTTGAGCCTTGGTGACGCAGGTCAAATTGTAATAATCTTCATCAGATAGTGCTGCTGGATCATCAAAGTCTACACCATTTTTTCTCTCTCTCTGCATTTCTCCATCAAGCTATTTAGCATGCTTGTAATTTCAGTTCTATTGAAATTAGTAAAGTCTGATGTAATGTTGGCAACAGCCTTTTCAATACGTCAGCATTGACCCCATCATCCTTAAGGTGACGCTTGCAACATCTCTCCCCATCAGGAATCAACATCCCATTATCACAAAATGTTTTCAGCCTTATCTCTTTTCTGATGTTTTACAAATCGTCAGTGCCTTTGCAAAACTAACACTTATTATGGGACAAACTAGTCTGAGTGATTGATTAGCATTTTTGCTTTGGGCTTGCCAGACTAGTCTTTGATGTTTGCGAATCATTGTCTTTAATTTGTACAGAGGATGTTTCAGGTTTTGTTGCCTCCGATCTTTGTTCCCTGTAAAATTTACATCGACGTCGATTGCATACTATACAGAAGTGAAAATTCGCTCTTTCGTACACGTTTTCAAGTTTTTGAGAAACATGTCTGTGTAGCTCTGCATTTGTTATATCTTTAACTTTTCTTCTATCTTTCCTTACAAATGTTTTGCTTAAACAACATTTAATAGAGAGTGATTTATCCATTATTTTGTTTAAGAGTTATTTGCCCCCTCCCATTTATGCGGAAGCTCTCCCCTGACATCTGGGTTGCTAGTCCAAAGTTGCAGTTCACAAAGGTTCTTTCTACACCAAAGATATGTGTTGGATCCACTATCTCGCAAGATTATTTCTCCTCAATAGCCAGATGTAAAAATATATTTCTTTGTCGCTGTTTCACCCATACGGACAGAAATATGAGCGCCCTTTTGACAGGTTGGGTCAGGGACCCCCAGTTCCAGAAATATCTTGGTCGATAACTATAATTTACATTCACTCTTAATTACATTGATCAGATATATGAATATATAAGTCTATATTATGAAGTCAAATAACGTTGTTTCGGGTGAAACAATACGTTACAACTTGTAAATTAGTTTTTCACACACGGTTTGCAACTCGAGCATCTAATTCCTATAATGTTTGTGTTCCTTGCAGACACACACATGGGCATCTTTAATCAATTTTTTTTTCAATTTTTCTTTTATATAAGACAAAAAACTAATTTTGCTCTTCTGGTAACTCATTTATCCCCTTATTATGAACGCGTATCGATGTCTTTAAATATTTATCAGAAAAAGCCACAATTCAACAAGATTGCCAATTTTCCTGTTTTTAAATAAAATAAGATTTTTTATTTATTTTTGTGTGAAATGCTATTAAAATACCGTTACGTATATATGTGTCGTAATATTATACAGAAAATGTTTAACTTTAAATCTGTGTCCATGCACCTTATCTACAAGAGACGGTGTGAAAAATTAATCGATATCATAAAAACTTCCTTTCTAAAGTATATTTCACAATAAATTCATATCAATATGCACACTTTAAAAACGTGCACATTGTGGCGATAAGAGCAACATGGGCCTTTCAATAAACATTTTCAATAGTAATCGAAAAAGATTATGTTTGATTTGGGAAAAAGTCTGTTTCAATCAATCAAACAATTTTTGAATTATATTCTCAATTATGAATTAAGAATACCATGAAAATGTAAAAACAGATAAAGTATGTTGTGATATAGAAAATCCATTCCAGAAAATAAAAGCAGAGTATCATTATGTTTTTGTTTTTTTTTGAGGGGGTTTATATTTATAAATAATACATTTTTATAAATTCATAATAAAGGTTTATTTCAAATATTATTCATTCAAATATGGTATGCTAACTGACATGAACATTGAATGTACTGTGCATCTTTTCATATTTTGAATTTTCCCACCAAAACACGTTCAATAAATATGTATAAAAAGTATTGAAAAGTTCAGTAAATACTAGTACGTGTATTTCCTAACTGAAATTAGTAAATACCTGTATTCCCTAAGCAGAATAAGAATTCCATGCATTTCTTAAGATTCAGGAAATACGTAAACTTCCTGATACATGTGTAACATATTTACTGTAACAGTTATACCCGTTTTATTTATTATCCCATCACAACGGAGTTCGAGAGGATATAGTAACGCCCTAGGGTGTGAGTGTGTGTGTGTGTGTGTGTGTGTGTGTGTTGGAGAGGGTGCCGATGTGTGCGTAACAGTCTCCTTGTCATGATCGGAAAAAATACGTCGACAATTTAATGTCTACCAAGTATGAAAAATGTCAGTCAACATATGGCTTAATGATAAATTGCATATATTTACATTTTCATTTGTGTTTTTTAATATACTAAACAATAAATTCAAGATATTTTCATCTAGTACATTCATGTCCTTAGAAGTTTTTTTTCAATAATATGGATTAGATAAAGTGGTATATTAAGTTTATAGTGCTTATATTCAGTTTAATTGGTATACTAGACAAAGTATAACAAACAGTTCATAATAATTATCGTTGAAATTAATTTTCTCTTCTTCTTAAGTCCACCGATCGTGACCCTCCTCCCTCTCCCTCTTATCTTTACCTGTTATGAGATCTTCACGTTCCGGGTAATAAAACGTGTATAATAAATTCACAAAGTCAGCATATTTCTTCTCTGGCAATGATATCCTTTCTTTGTGTTTTTCAGTGAAGTCCGATTCAAACATGGCCTTAAACACACGTGAGTGGTCCGCTAACACCTGTTTGTTGACGTATATATCCCGACCCTCTACCTCTAGTATGACGTCGGTAGGAAGGAAATGTAGTTGTGGTTCATTTTTCTGAGCTGTTACATTTTCTTCAGGTACACAATGCGCTTCCTCCAGGCACAACTTGGGTATTTTGCATTCAGTCGCCATGTTTCTGTAAACTTTATAGAGCGCTGGTAAATCAATAAGTGGTTATTTGAAATGTGTTGTAGCTTGATTTGAAACCTTTAAATGAGGTACTATTCACGGGTTCTCGAACATTAGACGTCCTAGACACGACTAGCACATCATTAAATAATCCTTTTCGATGCAACCAATAAAAATGCTGTTTATATACATATATCTTTCCCGAAATTATAATGACGTATTGAAGAAAAAAACTTTCAGTTACCACTTTAACATTAAAATAAAAGCAGTTGCTTTTAGGGTTTTTCTTGTTAAAAATAGAAGTGCAATGATTTAATTGTGTTTGTTCAATGCTAATAATGGTTTTTAAATCTAGAATAATAGAGTGCATTAAGTGTGTATATGGTAGATTATTAAGGTCTTCCGTTTCCAACGGAAGACCTTCTACTGATTCTGATGATTAAGATTATTCTTATTATTCTTTTTTTTTTTCTTCCTAGACGCCAACTTTGAGGCCTCATATCTCACTCATTTCTCAATGGATTTTGCTCAAATTTTCAGACATTATAGACGATAATAAACTCTATCAGAATGCTGTCTAAAATTTCAAAAAGTCACTTCCGGTTTTGAGTTATTTCCCTTTAAACGAAAATTTATAGGCTTTCATTTCCAGACAAAGGCTCAGAGACCACAAAAGCTGGAGCAGAAATTTTACTGGTTTTAGATAACAGAAGGATTGAAGTTGTGCACATCGGTTTCTGTTTTTCTATTTCTCTATTCCAAATGGCGCTGTATAGGGGTAAAAAATTAGAACGCCTAAAAGAGCGAAAATTAACACATATTTTCCTTTTTATCTTGAAAACTAAAAATATTTTGTTAAGACATGTAGAATAAAAGTTGTGCATAATTGCACGAGCTTTCATTTAATATCATTTAAAAGGGGCTGACCCCTAAAATTAGGGATCTAGGGCCCTTGAAAGTTTTTGCTTTATAACTCAAAAAAGGTAAATATTTCGGAATGACTGTCGATTATGAAGGTTTGCTTTAACATCTTATTATCTCATGAAATTGTTTTGTTCGAGTCTTGTTTTAAATGAGCTAGATACATGACCCATATATGTACAGGTAATTCTTTTCACTCAGCACATAAACGCGAGCTCCTCATGCGTGTAAACCAAAACAAACTTACTATAAATGATAAACATGGCTGCATTGGATGCTTATATTTTTTAGAATAAGGTTCTTGAAGTGTTTTGTGTTTTCCCCCCAAATTATCATGATTATTCACTGACAATTTTCCCTTTTATTTCATTTTTTTTTTAATCGTATAAATCAAGTCTACTAAAAATGGAAGAAAAGATAATATTTTCTTTTCTTCTTATCATATAAAAACAACAAACAATATAGTGAGAAAATAAAACATAACTGTAAAGCATATACTATTCACAGCCATTAAGTGCACGCCTTTTACATTCACCTTGTTTGTTTACAATTATATAACGCGCCTCCCTCGATAACGCGGGGCAAAGTCGGTCACCGGGAATCAATCGGCGTGTTATCCAGCGACCCCCAGTCATATACACAAAGAAACCACAGAATGGATAAATTTAATTAATATGTTGAATCTTTCAGATTATTACATAGTATCTTTGACTAATTATGTCGCTAGTGCATTTCATTCAATAATTTATTTGCTGAATTAAACGAAAGTTGCATATAATTATTTTTTTTATAGCAAATGTTTTTCTCGATATCGAGGTCATGATCTGTTTCACTTCAAATACCATCGAAAATATGCTCCTTTGATTAATTTCTACTAGTGATAGATTTTTTGTATCTTAACTTAAATGTACATGTATGTAAGTCAATATACGTTCTTTTGTCGTCCTTCTTAAAATGTACAACTGTATACGTCCCAAATATGAAAATATCGAGCGTTTTATCGGAATACATAAATACAAAATCCCACATTCACACGCGCCTCCAAAGTATGTAGATTGAGACACACATGCATAACTTATTCCATTGGACAACTAATTAACCTCGAACAAATAATTATTTTCTATTAAACTTGTAATTTTTTGCGAGCAGGTTTCCGTTTATTTTTTCTTATCAGCTCTCGTAATGCTTCATTAAGGTTTTACGGAGACATATAATGTACATGCATGCAAGTACAGAACATGCACGTTTTATAATTAAAGTATAATGCATATGCAAGAGTGCCCAAATATACGCATGTAGAGCCTTATCTGCGTTTGAAATACAGACATTAGAGTGAACTAATTATAGGTCCGCAGAGTTGATTATGAGTTGTTTTTATAACGGGTAGCCCATCCTGTCCACTCATCGTCACGGTTTGTAACCTCGTAATTACACAGGTAAATACTAAGGTGTCAATCTATATATTTTCACCTATATTTTCCCCCTAAAAAAATAAATTACCGAGAGATGTATCGTTTTCTCCTATCATATATTAATTGACAGTATTTATGAACAGCTGTTAAAACACAGGCCTATGTAAACGGTAAATCAAAAGAAAGGAAATCTGGGGTATGGAAAACAGAAAATATATATAATGCCTCATTCTCTGAAGATTACGTTGTCTTCAGATAACTAAAATACATGTACCAGTAAATTAATGTCCGTCGAATTTTATTTTAATGATAACATTTACTGGTGTGTACCTGTACACGCAGTGTGTCACTTTTTCTAAGCCTTCGCTCAAACGAACAATTTAGCAAATCTTGAATGAAATAATTTACACTATCCCTTCCACATATCCACACACATTCACCTATACCTAAAATCTAATAAGAATCAGATTTGTGACCATTTCTTTATTTTATCAAGATCGGTTGTAATTAAGAGATCATGTAGGAGTATTAATATTAGTGTCCACTATTGCCAACAGTGATGTATCGTCCACGAATAATCGAATTTCATTATGTATGCCCTGTTACGACGCACTTTGAAAAATTACGCACTTTGAAAAATATTTTCAAAGTGCGTTAAATTTGGGACCAAATCAATGAACTTTAAAAAAATAAAATTTCTTTTCAAAGTGCGTTAATATCGACCATATAAACGCACTTTGAAAAATGTGTATGGCTTGGTCAATATTCTTGCAAATCTTAGATATGATATAAATAATTGAACCTGTTTGATAACTCTTCGGTATGGTCACTTTACGATATGAAAGTGAGCGATTTTGATTTTTCCATACATGTACTTTGAAAATTCTTTCTCCCTTAATTATTTTACTGAACTAATTTTTTTTTACAGTTTTCATGCATTTTATGTAAACTAAAATTTATTGAAAAATTTTAACGTCATACCAGTTATATTGTTGTGAAGCATAGGCATCTGTACGGGGGGGTTCACACAAATGTTTAGCAAATACATTTTATAGGCATTAAAAATTGGGGCTTACCTTGGGGGTGTATCCTTTTTCAATTTAAATTATTAAAATCTATAAGTCTAGAATTTATTTTATGCATTTTTTTCAAAGTGCAATGCCACAATGCCCTCAGTTATGTCATTACAGTTTACATCCACCTCTGTTGCCTTGTGTCAAAAAGTTTTGCACCCGAGTCCTCGTTCACACGTGCGTGGCCGCAGAGAGCCGCGGGCATGTCGGTGTTAAAAATACATCGTGTACTCCGATAGTTATAAATGGAAATAATTGTAAGTGTACCAGTAAGTGACGTTTCCAACTCAAGGGAAAAACCCGAAAAGAATATTTCAATTGCACAATTTTACGGGAATATGCTTGTACATGCAAGTTTAATTATATACATGTATTCATTTTTACATGTACAAAAGTGGCCAAAATATATGCACACTTTTGAGAGATATATCCAAACCTTAGTCTAGAACAGATGCTCTAACCCCTGTGCCACATGGGCGGTGCTCAGATTTGAAGAATTAATTCAAGACATTTTTATCAAACTTAAGTATGCTGATACACTTTAACCTTGCACTTTCCTGTGACCTTTACCTCACTTGTCTTTAATTTGCATTTTCCTTAGTATTAAAGAAACCATCTGAGATATTTTTATGTAAGCTTATGCATTATTTGAAGGGGATTTTATAATCTATATCCATTTTTTAAGATTTCAATTTTTAAGAAACTATTCAAGATATTCTCAATAAACGTCATACATTATAACATTAATACAGATTTTAATGTTGCATTATTTACTAATATACACTTGGCGATACATTCATGACCTATAGACATATTTCTAGTTAAATCCTTAGCTAAATCATAGTGTTGAACCTAATAAATTCTTCCGATTTGATACTGTATATGCTCAGAAAAAATAAGGCTGAACATATCCATTCATTTAGACAAGTCAAGGTTCCTGACAGAGAAACTGTAAATTCGCTACAGTATTTGTACCTGTGAAACATTGTTGATACATGTATAATGCAGGGTGGGACATGACCTTGACTCAAGTTCAAGGTCACTAAAGATAAGATGTTTTGGCTGGATTCATGGACTAAAAGAATATATAAAAAACGTGTGTACTTTTCCAGTCGGTAATACACATACCGTATGATCCCTATTAACCACCCCTGCCCCCATAAGCGCCCCATAGGTCTTTTTTCAATTATTAGAAAACAAGGGCCCCCTCTACAGTGATTAAAATAATCTAGAATCGTATCAAAAGTCTGCCAAAATTTGAACAAAGTGAAAATGTAACTTGTCTATTATCCAATTTCTCAGTGGAAAATGAATCATATCGCATAAATTGGGTGGATTATCCTCTCTTAAAGTAAAGTTCGACATTATTTTAGCTGTTCTTTAAAATTTTTGAAGTATAAGAATGACATTAAATATTAATATGAAGAGAATACCAAAATAACCGCCTCCTTTTCGAAATTTTCTAAGCGCCCGGGGCGGTTAATAGGGATTATACGGTATTAGATTTTTATAACAGAGTTTGTCATTGATTGACGCAAGGTCATTTAGAAAGTTCAAGTTCACATACATTCCTTAAATTTACAGCGTTTTTCATGGCGAAACATTGCTTGACGCAAGGTCATTTAGAAAGTTCA